GAGAGAGAGAGAGAGAGAGAGAGAGAGAGAGAGAGAGAGAGAGACCTTAAAAAGTATCGAATAGCACCTTTGAGGTGTTTTTCCCGTTAGAGGGCATTCAAGTCTTAGTTTTGGTATCAAGGGTACCAAAACTAAGGGGTGGGGTGGGGTGAGGAGGGCTGCTGCTGGGATACTAGCTTCTTTTGTCTAGAACACAGAATTTAGCAAAGACACGCAGTTACAGAAGAAGTGGTTTAATAAAAAATAGTACACTGGCAAGGAGTGGAAAGCAATCCAAAGCAAAGAGACAGTTAGAGACTCAGTGACTGATACACAGATGACTAGAACTGTTGTGGTTGTTTGCACAGTGCTAGTTTTCTTGGTATGTGTATTTGCAATCTTTCTCTCTGCAAAATGATTTTTCCTTGGCATGTTAATTTTATCACCATTTTTGTAAGGCCATTTGCACTACATCTGTTATTGTCCTGCCTTAACTCCTCCCTGAGAGTTCCAGAAATCTGATGGGTGATATCTGCTTATATCTACTTCTTGCGGTTGAAATGTGTTGTCCTTACCTTAAGAGGACCATAAAGCTCTTTTTCTATTCTCTCCAGTGGCTAGCATAGACTATTTGGATCTACAATGCTGGAATCTCTATATCACAAAGAAGTTATTCTGTAACTGCTGTATCACAAAAAACCAGTTTCTCAAAGAGGTTAAAAATACAGGGTCTAAACATGAGTTAACCTCATTGTACCAAACAATAGTTCCTCAAAGTCTAAGAGCCAGGAAAGCCATACCCTATATTATGCCAAGAGAACTGAAAAAGTAAATACTGATGGTTATACTCAATATATAGAGTATGTAGCACAAAGAATTCCAAGAAGGGAATTAAAGGTAGAATAGCTTTAAAAGGAAAATGAGATTGTAATCATCAAGTTTATATTATACCAACTTGCTGAAAGAAATAGGTAAGAAAAATAAAAGCACAAAATAGTGTTACAACTATGGATGCATTCATAAATATGATTTATCTGTGTGTTTAATAAGTTGAGACTGCTTTTATTGTTTAAAGAAAGTTTTCAATTATCTTTCAAAAATATTTTTATTTACGTGTGCGTGTGTGAGACTCTGCAGGAGTTTTACAGACACCACATGTGTTCAGGAGCCTGGGGAGGCCGGAAGAGGGCACAGGATCCCTGGACCTGGAGTTACAGGTGGTTATGAGCCGTCATGAGGACACTGAGAGCCAATTCTGTGTCCTCCACAAGGGTACTCCATGCTCTTAACCGTAGAGCCACCTCCCTAGTCCCTTGATGTTTTAAGTCTTTTAACACTTCTCAGTTATAAGCAGTCTATATTTAAGATTTAAGATGTTTTTAAAGGCAGTGATGAGTCAAAAGGGAGAGATTATGTTTCAAATAATAATGTTTTAGTTATTTCCGTCAGCATAGATCAGGCCTTTCTCCCCTCTGATGTCAGCAAACATCAAAAGATGTATGTATCTTTGACAAGACTCATCTATCAGCATGCCTGTAGGTGCTGTAGATTATGAGAATGCTGCATGTTTCGGAACATCTAGAAATGTAAGCTGCTATGCTTGCTTGGCATATTGGTGCTCTTAGCTAAGCTTAACCTGTAAGGGCAGCTCTAAAGCTCCCATTGTGAACTAAAAGGAACTTGAGTTAACTTAACAATTTTATTCCATGTGCTCACTCCTTTATAAAGCAACTTGCTACCACAAAAATAATACAAAAAAAACACATATATACAATACATGTATACATATAACCATACATAAAGTTAGAGATGAAAATCAAAGATTTTTATAGCTTTTATTTATATTTATGGTCCTGCTGGAGCCAGAGTCCTGAACAGCGGGTACCATCTGCCTATCTGCTCTCTTTCTTTTTTGTCCCCCAGAAACTAAGAAGGCTTGCTGCCCAGTGACCTCTGGTGTCCTAGAACTTTCTGCTCCTGATGAAGCCTGAGACCTCAGTTTTCCAAGGTTTTCAGTTAGACTCTTGATGTCATCATTTTCTCTACAGCATCAAGCAATCCTTAATCTAAAACCCGTACTTCTAAAAACATGACAATTCCTAGAAACTAGATAGAAAACTTAGATCTAAAGTCACAGAGCCTAAACTGATAGTTTAAAGATGCACAGTAGAAGCAAAAACATTGAAATGTGAAACTTGTTATGCAGACTTTAAGGCAAATTCTTCTTCCCCCTTTTCCCTCTTCAAGTGATAAACAGTAGAAGGTGGCCTCCTGAGAAAACCTCCATTTTCTAAGGAGCTTGCCTAGCCTGAAATAGGGCAGAATTTTCTTCCTCTCCTTGAGTGACCTCTCTGTCCTCATTGTATTGTTCTCATTATTCATGAGAAGAGTCTCTCTACCACCTTGCCACATCTACAGATCCCTGCTGAGATATTGTAATCATAAAGATGTGTTCCTTATTTGGGACGGTCAGTATACTGGGTGAATGGTTAATGGGATTTTGAACAACTAATTCATTTGTGTATCTCCTAGATCTGCTTCTCTTCAGATGTGCAAAGAATGGGATAAAATATAGGTTTTTCCATCCTTAGGCCAAACCTCCCATTAACTGGCCAGATGATCTCAAAATAAAGTATTAGTCTTTTCCCCCTTTAGAATAAAATTCCAATTCTGTACTGTAACAAGAAGTACAAGAGGTAGAGAGAAGAAACCGGGGGGGCCTCAGGAGTACAGGAACAGCCCTGTCAGCCAGTGGAAAGTCCTCAAGACTGCCTGCTGTTGAGAGCATTCCCAATTCTGTCACACTCAGGCATGCTGAACTGAGTGTGATACACAAGAAGGTTAGAACATGTTTTGAGACCCCAGTCCCTGGGCTTATTTATCCTAGGTTTTAATTGATCACTTTCATTGTCTTTCCAGAGACCAAGGCCTTCAATCCTGGAATACAAATCCTTACCACAGATATTTCTGAAGTTATTTATTGACCTTGGAAGAGCAATGTCTCTTTCTCATAGGATACTAAAAAGGCCCATGTGGTTAGGTTTGCCTGAGAAGC